GCCTCCTAAACTTTCCTCTAATTTAGCAAGTAAACATGTGTTTACGGGGAAGCACAAGCTGAAAAACTGTAAGAAGAAGAAAACATTTAAAAAAATAAATAAATACAGTTGCTCACTCCAACTGACCGGTTAGAAGGAAACACAACAACAACAAAAAAAAGCACCACTGAAAGACTAACAAAGGTTTTGAACTTAATGGACACTTCGGTTTCTCAAGACCCCTAAGTGTGGAGCTGCAGTTGAAAACAGTTGTAATGGGATCCCACATCATCTCAAATACAAATTGCCCAATTACCCCACAAAACACCTAACTTTTTAACTTTTTACCCATGTATATACATTTTAAGCTTTAACTGCTGCACTAGATTTAGAATTCCTACTCTTTCCATCAAGGCCACCTGTCTAAACATCCAATTCTGTTTTGGTCCCTTGCAAGAACTCATCCGCACCCACCTTTCAAGGTCGCTTGCCGTATGGACCCAAGCTGTATTTGAACGAAAGTGGAGCCCCGACATTGCGTTTCGCCTAATAGCGCACTCAGAGATTAACAGCCACATCCTTCCACTTGGAAGCAATCAATGCTGTTAGTTGGGTAATAAAAGGGTCACAAAATATGCCTAGCAGTGGCAGTTGACGCAAGGGCTGTGGCTTCGCTGCCAGTGCTGGCAAGCCGCTAAATGGCTTCTACTACCTTCTTCACTGAATACAACGTACGGTGACTACGGTCATTAAAAAAAAAAAAAAAAAGTACATCGTTATAGTTGCATGTGGCATATCTTTCAGTCTAAATACACCCATCTGGACCATATGTTTTATTTGGGGGAGGAAAATAGCCAATTCATGTCACCACGTTGACAGCGGTGTAGAACCGTCCCGTCGTACTGGGACGGGCCGTACCGAAATCCGTACGCACATACGTACGCACCCCCTGTATGGGCCGCATATACGGACTTCTGCTCCCCCGTATGTGGCCCTTGGGGAGGTACTGTCTAGCTTATGAGAACTTGTCCATGAATATAATCGTGCATTTTAATTACGCGATTGAAAATGTCAAATCCGATCTTTTTCTTCAAATAATTAAACCATGTACTACAAAAGACCCCGTATTTGCTATACATCCTCGTATTTATGCAGGCTACGTTGCCAGTACGACTGGTTTTCATTTATGCGTGTACGGGACTCGACAACGACGGCCAACATACCCCCCACATTAGATCCCTCGCTCAAGAAAAGAAAAGAAAAAAATGTTTTTGTTTGGGGGATCCGGTGGAGGAATTAAAAAAACAAAGACAAAATTTGATTGATTGATCGACAAAATTTGATTGATTGATCGACCAATGATTGTTTGATGGTCAGTTGTTCGTTGGTTTGATTGATTGATTGAATGAGATTACAAAAAAAAAACACATCCACATGGCTGTGTGGGCGCTCTTTCTCTTTCTCTCTCTCTCAGTGCCGGGCCGGCACGAGAGAGAGAGAGAGAGAGGGTGGGTTTTTTTGAAAAGTGTGTGTGTGTGTGTGTGTGCGGGTAAATGGTGGGAGTAACTATGCCTCTCCAAGGGTGTAGCCAAATGCCTCTTCATCTAATCAGTGGCGCGGATGAATGGATTATCGAGATTCCCACTGTCCCTATCTACCATCCTGCAAAAACTCAGCCACCAGTCAATCACTTACTCAACCTATCTATCTATCAATATTCTTTTTTTTTTCCTTTTATATATTTTGCTCATTTTCTTACCACAAAAATAAATACAAGCCCTACACGGCCGTTTCTTGCCTTTTTATTTTTTCACCAGAAAACAATTTGCAAAACAAAAAATCAAAAATACAGGGGGGGTATAGTCACCCCCCTTACCACCTCAGGGGGTCAACCTCCCATGGACATCACCCCCCACCAGACCCTGACACCTTTGACCAGGAGTCGGCCGTATGCCCATCCATCCATCCATCATCCATCCGTTCGAACAGGCCGTACACGGACCCCCCGCATACGACATAACGTACCGGGGGCTTCATTGTTTGCCAGACCCTGCACATTTTCCATAGCACACCCTAGCATATAGGGTTTTTAACTTTTTATCCTCCATTACATGTTTCTTTCTTTTGTTTTTTGAATCTAACCAGAATTCCAGTGTCTCAGGCAAACATTGCTCTGAATGACAATGACAAGATCCAAGATCTATAGCACACACCCTTTTTCCCAAATCCTCCACATTCTAGTTTTTGTTTTATGATAACATAGTAAAGTTGCTCCCCAGTTTTTAAAACTTTTTCTTTTTGTTTATGCCGTTTTCATAATTGATCGGTCTGTGCATACGTCCACCACGTTGAACCTCATGCGCACCCTGAACGTTCTAAAACAGTGTTGTAGTAGCAGCACCTCTCAGGCGAGGACCGCTCTGCTACTCACCGAATAAATAGGCTGTGTCTATTTGTTAGAATGACGGGCAACAAGGAGCCACCGCATGCGAGGACTAAATAAGTCAGGGCAGGTGCCGTTGTGCACCCGCATCGGACAACAAGGAGCCACCGCATGCGAGGACTAAATAAGTCAGGGCAGGTGCCGTTGTGCACCCGCATGCTTTAACAATGTTGCGGCCCAGGAAAGGTACATTCAACAGATGAGTACACTCAGTGTTCCACCACCAGTACATTTGTTAGACATTTTTTTCCCAGACGACGAGGCATGCATTTGGCCGCAATTTGTGGGGGCCAGCCCACTCAAGCCTGTGGCGGTTCTTTTTTCCTTTTTCGCCGCACAAGGCATTTCCAAGCTTGGTAAGGTATGGGTCAAGTAAGTGGTGTACTAGCAGTTAAACAATGATTTTTTCCTTTCATCTTTGTCACTTTTACTTTTTTGTTATTCTATAATCTTATTGGCATGATTCCTTACCTGAAAAAATCACTAAAAAGATTCCTCATCTTAATGAAAATTTACTTCGCAATCTCGATGTTAATGGATTAATTTCATTGGGTTCTTGGGTAAAAACTGGAGATGTTTTAGTAGGCAAATTAACCCCTAGAGAACCGGGAGAATCCTTACGTCTTTCAGAAGGAAGATTGTTGCATGCGACAGTAACAAGTCATTTTGTGGTCACCTTTGGTCTTTCATTCTCTCTTTTTATTGGGCTTGCCATAGCGGGATTTCAAACTCATGGACTTCATTTTTTGAGTTTTTCATTACCTCAAGGCGTACCTTTGCCACTAGCAGGCCGAACAGAGATGGGCTGCACAGAGGTCCCTTTCTTTATCAGGTCATCCAGCGTCCAGGCATACCGCTACCGATAGATAAGGAGGCCTAAAGAGAACGATGGTCAACTCTTCTTTAAGCACAGCGTAAGCAAATTCCACTGTGTCAGGCACACCACAAAGGTTTCTCAGGAGGTTGGAGAGCCGTGTGCAAGATTGTATCATGGGTTCAAATCCCATTTCCTCCGTTCCGCCAGGGGCATAGTTCATCAAGCGCATGTTTTGCAAGTAAGAAGTTCTCGGTTCAAGTCCGATCGTCTCCAATTTTCCCGTGAGCCCTCGTAGCTCAGGAGTGTGCATCCAGCTATATCGGGAAAACATTCATTTACATTACTTGGATTGATCAATCCCAAGGGAAGTCCTGTGTTGATTTGATAAATATTAGCAAGAGGATCCCTTAAAGACTATGAAAAAAAGTAGATAGAAGATATGGAAAACAGTTTTAACAAGCACGTCAGCAATCATTTTGCCGATGATTTCGTTGTTCTCTTCACAAGGCTCGAAGAGTTGTTCAGGGCGCTCAAGAGTTCCTATCACAATGCCTCCAACCCATGGGCCTGAACTTTGTGCCTGATCAAACTCGCATAGTCACTACGGGGGAAGGATTCCATTTCTTACCACATGACGTTCTCCACCTTGGCAAAGGCTCGAAGAGCAGACGCTTCGAGTCTGAATCTCACGGGCTCGTCAGCAGAGTTTCTCCGTCCAAGAAATCACAGGAAACACTTCTTTCGCAACCTCCTTTTGTAATGCAAAATCTCACGTAGGTTCCGCTGTACACTGACTCATCAGTGCTTTGGTTCCGTTGATTTCAGGTTGGGGAAACTACTACTACTTGGTGGTTTAAACCACCAACCAGTACTTGCCCCATCTATAGGCCGTGGGGGAAAAATAGAGTCCAACGTTTCTACTTGGATGAATTTGGGCGCTCCTGTAGTGGCCCGTACATTTCCTACACTCGTGGCTTGTTAACGGCCACTACTTTAGGAAGTATTGGTGGTATTTTTTTAATTGGACCATCTACAAGGAATAAATCCCACTCTGATCTCGCAAGGACCTTCACCTTCCTAAAATCGTGGCTTGTTAACGGGCTCAGCTTTTTCAGAACTCCCAACCCATTCAGTCGCAAGATATGTACTCCACCTCCCTACAACATCTCTGTAAACCGAATCTGCGATGCCTTGGAGCAACAACGTGCCACATCTCCCAACACCTACAATCCAAACGATTGAGCATTTCTCTAATCCCTTCCCTCTCCTCCAGCCGTCAGAGCGACTCGCCATTTGACCGTTTCTCCACGGCCACAGGGCAGATTCAGCAAACACTCCTTAAGACCAGAATTAGCTAATACAATTCCAGTAAGTCCTCCTATGGTAAACAAGAAGATGAATCCTACAGCGAATAACATGGTGTTGAGTCGCTGAGCGACCAGGAAAAGGATTTTCTTGCGTTACTTCCTTAAAAAATGCACAGCAAAGTTAGAAAACAGAACACCAAGCTCTACAGATTAACCCCACTCAAACCCATCTGCTACAAGAGGCAACCAACTTCACTTACCAAAGGATTTGATAAACAGGGTAGGCCTTAAAAAAAGCAAAGAAAACAGAAGACCAAGCTCTTCAGAATCTTCAGATTAACCCGATGCAAACCCATATGCCACAGGAAGCAACCAACTTCATTTTTCCTGCCGCAAACCCGTATGCCACAGGAAGCAACCAACTTCATTTTTCCTGCCAAAGGATTTCATACACAGAGTACGCCGTCAATTCGACAGCTCTGAATTGCAGCTACAAATGTTTTCGACTCAAAACAGACAGACAGCAAATGTACTCACATACGGAACAAAATGAAAAGAAAGAATAGACGAACGAAAATGAACTCAACAATGAAGCGAATGGCTTAAGGAAAAGAATAGAAACCAAAGAATGAAGAAAGAACGAATGAACAAGTAGAATACGGAAAAGAGCGCAGGAGAAAAAAAGATGACAAGTCTTCACGTACCCACAAACTGAAGAGCATCTTTACACCAATCAACTCTATGGTCCAACTGTTCTCAAAAGACTCTGCCAGAATCTTGAATCTTGATGATCAATCTTTCCCTCCTCAATCTCCACCGAGTACCTAAACATCCGCTCGCGAAATCGTCAACGCCGAAGTGACCCATCTGTACATAAACCCCACTCTCCGCTCTCTATTCACAAAGCTTTCACAGTCACCAGTGTAAGCACTCACAAACCTCACCTTACCGCACTCCAAATGGTTATCTTCTACTCTTGCTCCTTCGCTAGTACCCTCATCCTTATGAACAACCACTCCGCGTACTCACACTTACACACTGTCCACGGCGAGGAGGAGTATTTGCTACGGTTCAGACGAAGAAGGCAACAAGGAAAAGAACAGAAAACAACGCTTCTTCCTTGGCTACTAACACCAATCGAATTACTCCAACCATCTACACTACGAAAATTGGCAGCAGCACCACCTCCCACCCGGCCAACAGCAGCAGCAGCAGCAACAACTTTCCTAAAAAGACTGAGAGACGAACAGAAAAAGAGAACGTCAGAGAGACACGGCAGCAGGATAGGGGCAACCACAAGAGTAGACCCTGCCATCATCATCAGCAGCAGCACAACAACGAATTTTTACAAAGACAGAGACGGACAAAAAAAAGAGTGACAGAGAGAGAAGGCAGGTGGGAAGAGGTAACCAGAAGAGAGAGAGAGAGAGAGAGAGAGAGAGAGAGAGAGAGAGAGAGAGAGAGAGAGAGAGAGAGAGAGAGAGAGAGGGAGGGGGGCGGGGGCAGGGGGCAGGGGGCGAAGCGAAACAGACACCAGTCTCTTGCTTACCAACACACTCGGTTACCTTCCGGAGTAAATTCCAAGCCAAGTGTTTGCCAACACAACCCCATGCTGCACGAACACTGTCCGACAACACTTGAACCACCAGTAGAAGCTTCACCCATACATCGGCCAGAGCCGCGACGTTTCCACTGAGTGAATTTGGACTGGAGCTGCCAGGACCGTTCGGCCCAGTGCGTCGCCGCGGCTCATATACGGCTGCGACTTTCGCAAGTACTGGTGGTTTAACGAGTAGCTGAGCAGATTGTTCTAATGCGCGGGGACCCAGCCCGCAGTCTTTGCCTCAACGGGAAACAACACCCTCTACACGGGCGAAAGTAAGAAACAGGGCGTTGGGCAACAATGATCCAGCAACACGAAACAACAGAACAGGCGTAAGACAATAGGACATTGCGCAATGATGATCTGGCAATGCGAAAGTTCCAAAACATGGCCCTGTGAGAGGAGGGACAGTCATCTTGCAACGCCGCCAGTGCACCAATGCCTGTGTTCGTCCCGCCGGACGGAGCTCAAAACACCTCCACATAGAGAGCAGGTAAAGCTGCTGTTGTCCGCCGATGCATCACGCACAACTTGCAACCGCCCCGACTCGGCAAGAATTGGACTGGAATTCCCGAACATGTTGACATCGTCATCTTCCCGTGCCTCCATGGCTTCACACTCTCTCTCCTGAACGCCACCACCATCCGCGTCCGCCCCCGCATTCAACATCATACCTTGGCCATTTCCCACAAACACGTTCGCCTTCTCCACCAAGGCGCAGTGAGCAAAGAGGTTTGTGAGCTCATCCAAAGGGTCCTTCGGTGGAGGTCCAAGGTTCATATTTCCGTTCCGTTGATGGTACAGGCACCGCGCACGGTCCAGAGCTCGAAATACCTCAGCTTCTCCTCCAATCGCTTGCAAAGCTGATACCACCTGCGTGAGGTCAACAACACGAGCATGTGCTGCCAGACTGGCAATCAGAGGAGAGTTTTTCGACAGCACCTATTGCGAAATAGCCAAAGGGGGTCAAGAACTGCTACAGAAAAGAGATTTCAAGGCATATAAGATACTGTGGAAGTATCCCCATTCGCACGCAAATCAAGAACAAAACAGCCAAGGGGGGTCAAGAACTGCTCCAGCAAAAAGATCTCAAGGCATATAAGATACTGTGGAAGCATCCCCATTCCCACGCAAATCAAGAAACGGTCCAAATTATAGGGGGTCAAAAGAGACGGAGGGGAAGACGGGCAGAAGGCCAGAGGGGGGGGGGGGGGGGGGGATGCATGGTGATCCTGGTCTTCAAAACGGTCAGGTTCGTGTTCTCTTTGCACGAATGTAGGAAAGGCATGGCGGGCGGACCATGGCCCTGTGAGCACAAATCATGGTACACATGGCCCATGTATTACCACTGTCTTCCACTTTCACCAATATGATTGATTAACTAAAAATAGTCACACAGCTATCAATAACTAGGAGCTCACAGGTCAATGAAAAGCGTGAGAAAGTTGAACTAGCACGAAGAATAGCACATCGAACAAAACGATAAGCGATACATAACAATTCTTGTCGTCTTATTCAGCTCCTCTCTTTTTTCTGTGTGTGTGTGCGTGTGTGTGTGTGTGTGTGTGTGTGTGTGTGTGTGTGTGTGTGTGTGTGTGCGTGTGTGTGTTTGTGTGTGGGTGGGTGGGGAAGGGGGGCATTTCTCAATTTACCAGTGTCATCTTCTGTGTCCTTCCAATTTTAATGGCTGTCCCAAAGGACCTTGTCCACACTAGGGTGCAAGATTCCATATATGTGTGTGCAGTCTACTGGCAAAGGTCCACACCCGCCTGCTTTCGCATATCGGCACTCTTGCAAGCGCTGCGGCACTCTTGCGAGCGCCGATGATATAGATCAGACGGTGAGCACTGGTGACAGATCAAACCGTGCACTTGTGAAAGTGAGAAACAGGGCGATGATCATACAGCGACAAGAAACATCTACAGGACAATCATCTGGCAACGCTACCAGCGCACCAATTCCTGTCATGTTCATCTCGCTGGAGGGAGCTCAAAACACCTCCATCTAGAGAGAGCAGGGAAAGCTGCTACCCCCGTGCAGAGAAATGCTGGAGGAAACCCAGGCAAAAATAACATAACATAATACCACAGTGGAGTGGAAGCAGACTAACACACTAATGGTTAATAGGTGATGTCATTTTCAGCGAATTTTTCACCAAAACTGCCATACTTCGTTGATTTTTCTTTTTGCTTTTTTTCTCTTTTTTTTTTTGTGTGTGTGAGATATGTATGTGCTTTAGGGTATCTCTGTATGTATTCAGTATTTTCGAATAATTTTTGTGTGTGTGTGTATGTGTGTGTGTGTGTGTGATATCCATGTGCTTTACCGTATATCTGTATGTATTCAGTTTCAATGTATTTGGACCAATAACCAAAAGGTTAGCAAAAACACCACATTCGCAGAAAAGTTCAGGGAACTCCAAAAGCTACTCCCATTAGGCTTTTATACTGTTTATAACTTTATAGTGCTTTTTTTTTTTTCTTTTTCCCCCCGTAAGACAGGTCCTTATGGCCCTTGCTCCATTTCCATTCTGGGGAGCATCAGTCCGGTTCCTATTCCACCGGCAAGTCAGAATAAAATGCTACATCATCAAAGAAAGCACTCACGCTTCCTTCGGTCCGGCCGGCCGGCCGAAGGAACCCTGACCAGCATTGATTACTCCAGCATGGTGGAGAATTGACTGTCAGCTTGCCTTGTTTCCAACTTTCCTCTCAGGTCCACTGCATGAACCGGTCAGATAAATGACATAAAAAACAAGAAAAGTAAGAGAAGCTACGAATTTGCCCTTCAATGTTACATGGCCTGTGATGGACCTTGTCCTTCTGCTGCTGGCTGGGACCTCTGCCTTCACCACCCTGCTTCCATTGTTTGTTCACAAAATTTTCGACGGGATTGCTTGTGGTGATACAGCAAAAAAAAACAAATTTTGGGCGCCTTCCATTAACCATATCTCGACGACTACCGTCTTCCCCCGAACACAACGCACCCTCATTTTGGCCGTATCTGGCCGGAAGTATAACTCGTATCCATTCATTTTTAGGGTGTGTTATGTTTGGGGGAAGACGGTAGTGAATGTCCTTGGATGACTGTACAGCAGGTGATCAATGTGCTTGGACGACCATACGACCGTACAGCAGCAACACTACTCGCTGACTTAGCACATGTGAAAGGACAGCCACCTTCTCCCCATGATATCCACCCTCTCCCCATTCTGTTTTCTTTTTTGTTTTTGGAGGAAACAAGTTCCTTTCATATGTCAAGGGCTGGTGATGATTTGAGCGTTGTTTTGAATTAAACCACATGCTCCACCGCTTGTGCAGCATCTGCCACCTCGTGCTTGTCGTATTGAGGATTTCGCAGGGGGTTTTCTCGTGCAGCATCCGCCACTTCCTGCTTGTCGTATTTCGGACTTTGCGAAACCACATGCTCCACCTCGTGTGCAGCATCTGCCACTTCGTGCTTGTCGTATCGAGGATTTGGCAGGGGGGTGTTCTTGTGCAGCATCTGCCACTTCGTGCTTGTCATATTGCGGACTTTGCGGGGGATTTTCGTCCCGCCTGTAGCACAAAGACACTTCCTAGCGCATCACCAACACAGACTTCCCTTGGAAGTCTCTGAGCTGTGCAACTAGGTAGGGGCAAGATCCACTTGAAAAGGAGGTCCTATCGTCTTCACCGGAAGAGGACACCTGGTCATTATAGCTGTGCATTTGGGACAACTTTCAGTCTACATACAGGTATAATGTACCATGAGTTCTATTCGGGTGAAGACGCTGGTGTGCATATGCCTCTACACCATTTACCCTGCCTGCCTGCTGACTCCCCCTCCTTTCACTTACGCATTCTCTGACGGCAGAACACAGACCGCATGATTTCAAACATCCCCGTGATCACAGCGGATACTCTCTCTCTCTCTCTCTCTCTCTCTGTGTGTGTGTGTGTCTCTCAGCACCACGATCACCAACCTAATCATCGTCATCAAGAATGTCACTCGCACACATGGGACATAAGCAAAGCACAAATCATCCAGTATTCTTCATCGGGTTCATAAATATCAATGAAGTCTCCACATTCTGTTCATCATAACACATCTTCAATCAACACCGTCCCCATAACCATCACAGTCTTCGTCCATTCAAGTCAAACCGAAAGTTCAACCGAAGGCCAACGGGCCTAGCTCAGTTGGTACTACACCAATGACCTGTCGAAATACAGACCTGAGTTCGAATCCAGATGCACCGAAAATTATTTTGAATTACCTGTGGCGGGTCAGTTCAATGATGATGATATCCAAAGAAAACATCGCCCTCCAAAAAAAAAAAAGTTCAACCGAAGATGAACGACCGTCGTTCTCAACGGCGTTCCCAAGGTCCAGCTTGCAATCACCATGTCTTCGTTATCAATCAATGCACTACTTACCTTCTCTATACACTAATCTACATGATGGTCAGAACTAAACATTTGCAGGCCTGTTAAAATGAAAGACAACAAAATATAGTCGGTAAAAAAAAAAAGACAGACTGCCAACTCTCGGCCTAACAAGCTCGATCCGGCGTAACGTGGTCATCTCATTATGACTATTACCACTCCCTGAAACCGGTTAACGATTAATCAACCAAGATGGTCATCTAATTATTACTATTACCTTCTAAAAATATATATATCGTCACAAACAGAACAGCCCGGTAAAACCGTAGGCAGAGAGAGAGAAGATATATATACCTCCTGATGAGTCGGTGAAACTCCGACGAAACAGTTTGTCACAGCCCCTCGTTTGTTGTCCTCTTCTCCCTCTCTGCCTACGGTTTACCGGGCAGTTCTATTTGACGATATATATATATATTGTCACATTGTGAATCAGAGCGCAGAAACGAAAAAAAGGAAAAGGAAAAAAGGGGAAGGGGAAGAGGTAAGGAAAGCTCCACCTGTTCATAACCTCTTACGTACAAGGCCAGCCACGTGGATGACAGGTTGAGCGCTGGCTGCCCCATTCCCCGTGTGTCACAAGGACCCACTTGCACGCAGCCAAAAGGCAAAGAGGTAAAGAAAAGGAGGAAACCAAACCTGACAGGGAAAGAAAGATAGGGAAAGAAAGATAATCCAATTATCACAAAGCAAATAACACATCCACAGATCAACGTATCTTTTTTCTTTTTTTCTTTTTTTCTTTGTTTCTCTTTTTTCTTTTCTTTTTTTCTTTACCTGTCCCCACCTCGGCAGATAGGACAGCTACGGTGAGGATGATGTGGATGTTCACAAGGATGCCCAAGGAGAGCTGC